TGCCATTTGGCCTTCAAATACGAGGGATTCGCGGTCTGACTTCACGGTCACGATCTGTGAAGTGCGGCCACGAACTTCCTCGTGATAAATTTGAATTTTGGTCGTGATCGGACTGAGGAAACTCTCTGTTTCTCCTCGGCTGGCTTCTTCACGAAGTTCGTGCCCGAAACATCCAGATACGCGGCCACGATCTTGGGCTCTGAGGCCTCGATCTTTGCCTTGAGTTTGCAGTCTTTATTCTATGACGTGATCTCCATCTCTAGGCCTTAATCATCAGCCTTCCGCCCCTTTTGCTACACTTTTTCCCTTTTCGTACATAATTCGCATGTATTGTCTAAAGCACCCTAAAATCACATCATAATCAAATAGGAACGAAATAGGAATGCAATTGACTCTATTCAAACAATTATGCACCTGAATTAGCATAAAACAAACCTAAATATGAAGGGTAAATCATACAAATTTAGGTGTTATCAATATTCACTAAAGGTATTCTTATTTCGAAAACCCTATCAGATAGGAAATTGCGGCTATGATACCACTTGTTAGAACGAAGCTGGATAATCGAAAAATCAATAAAGGAAAGAACACTTAGATTTACATGATTTCTAACACAATGTGTGTTAGCTAGTCCACGGATAGCAGAGAGCCAGTTTCACTATACTTGAAGAGACACATATTACAATGTGATTGGGAAGTATATATAGTACTTCTCCAACGACCTAACCTAATATAATCTGGTAAAGAATAAGGTTATAGACTAGGCCGATAACAAGAACCCAAAGTTTATAAGCTCATAAATTCACGACTTCCAGTCGATGATTGATAATCCGATTCAATTCATATTGAGAAATGGATTTCTCGATGAGCATTCTGAATTGTGAGACATCGTTAATGTGTTTCGAATAAGACCTTGAAACCTCTTCATGATCCTCTTTCTTGGTTTGTCTAGGTGTGGACAAAGGAGGACATAACACATGCCCTCCTCCTTGAGAACCTTGCTCATCTTGTTGTTTCGCTTTATAAAGCTTGTACCGTTAAGCTTATCCTTATAGAGGCTTGATCTCAGTGACAAGTGAATGTTTTGTGCCCACTTGTGCAATCTATAAAAAGTGTTATATGTTGTAATTAAGTGCATTTTAACAAAGACTTAACATTAAAATTCTATCACTATTACATGACAACCCTCATAGTGTCATATTTGTGAAACTGTATATAGCGGTCGCGTCGTATAAGTTTATGTAAATGATGTATTTTATGAATGCATGTATTATATAGAGTGTATATTTTTTGTTCCAATATGAAACACAATACATGCATTTATTTGTTGATGTAACACTTAAAATCATTCAAATGAATGATTTACAACTAAACGTTTTTGCGAGATTGTGGTTTGTGAATGTTAACTCAATTTGTTTTGTGCTTAGAGTATAAATGAATTCATTTATAATTATAAATTTTGAATTATATGAAATTGGGGCTAATTTTAGCAATTCCGAGAAATTACGGTGGAATTTCCAAATGAACTCCGTAAGTATTTTACTAATTGTGATAAAATAACCAATTATTAAGTAAATTACCCCTATGCATAAACAATTGACTTAAACACTCCAGATTTCCGCATCTAACCTTCTTCGTTGGGTCGCTACTTTACCAACATATAATCATCGTTTGACACCCACAAGGCCACAACCTCTGTTGTGTGCTTTTAGGGCGACTCCCCCAATTTCATTCTTCTGCTAAACTGCAACGCTCCTACAGCCTCCATTGCCCCATCTGGTTAGAATTATATGTATGCTGCACTTATACACGTTTACTCCTTACATATTGTTGCTTGTAGTAGCTTTTTTTTATGGAGATTGTTCTTTATGTTTTGGTTGTTACAATCTCTGTTATTTTTTCTTGGTTTTGGTATCAATGGGCATTCTTAGGGGTGGAAATTGGGGTGGGTGTGGTTACCGCCCCAAATTTTGCGGGTACCTACACCCACAAATTTACAATTATGCTACCCACAACCCGCACCGCAGTGGTTAGTGGGTAACCATTACCCACTGTGGGTTTGTGCGGGTTGAGTGTGGTTACCCTCAAAATCAATCTTTGAAAGCATATAGTTCTAGTCGCTAGTCGCCACTAACATATTTGTTTTCGTAACTAGACTATAGTGATATACACTTGTGGTGTTCGTGGAGATACAATTTTGTACATCGATCTTACTCAACTTGGAGATTTTTTCTTTTTGAGTTTAGTATTCAACTTTTGTGTCAGAGAGCTGTGATTTCATATTTCTCCGACTAGCGGTGAAATATGACAATTAAATATGGTCTTGTATTTTTTTCAAACAAAAGCAAAAACATACTAATAAAAGTTACAAAAGGTATTCACTTTTAATGAATTGATTATTCTCCACCCTATTGATTATATGTTTCATAAACTAAAAAATTCTTAGATAAAACTGATTAGGTGTATCTTTTTTATTTGGTGGCTACTTTAATTTTTATCCTCGCACTTTTTACATACTATTATATTATAAATTTAATTCACTAAATAAATATAATTAGTGTGGTTATTGTGGATTTTGTGGGTTAACCGCAGTGGGTAGTGGATAACCATTAACCACAAAAATCGTTATTTTACTACTCACACTCAACCCACTACCCATAACTTGTGGGTATGGTTACCCACAATAAGTGCGGGTTGGTGCGGTTTGCGGATTATCCACAACCCGCAACCCAAACTTCCACCCCTAGGCATTCTATGGTGGAAATTCTATCAATGATCTTTCTTATTTGTTAATAGCCTACTTGTGATGACTAGATCAAGTCCTCGGTTCAAGAAAAAAAAAAGAGTTATCTTAGTAGATTTTTAGAAATTATTATAACCCTCGGGGCATATTATACTATTTTTTACATCAAACATGCCCCTATACTTTGAAGAAATTATCAAACATACCCTTATGTAAAAATTTCCATTAAAAAATGGTCAACCACAGTTGAACCGAGATTCACACGACCCGACATCGGAAAAATTGGGGTTGGAATGTTAGTTTTTCTTCCTCATTTATTTCTCCAGGTCTAGTTAAAGTGAAATTATTAGAGGTATTTGGCTATACAAAAGAAACAAAACAATTCTAAAGTGATATTATTAGGAATATTTTAGATATAGGTGTCACCCAAACCAAGGTTCGATCATGATTGATGGTTTTTGGATGCAAATTTTAACAAAAGGGCATGTTTGATCATTTTTACAAAGTATAAGGGCATGTTTGATGTAGAAAATAATAGAGGGGCATGTTTGATAAAACTACATAATAGATGGGCATATTATACCTATAACCCATTTTTAGATGGATCTTCAAATTGCCTACTACTTTTTACGATTTTTTTTAGGGTTAAAGACACATTTGGTCACTGAGATTACAAAATCGGGACATGTTTAGTCACTAGAAAAAATTAATATCAAATTTGGTCACTACAATTACTAAAACTGGACGCATTTAGTCACTCGCCGTTAGTCTCCGTCCAACTCCGTTAATGAAGTCCGTTAAGTGCTGATGTGGCAAACAGAATTGCCTAATCAGCCGGATATAACCCAACAAAAATAAAACCCGACCCGCCACGTCATTATAACCCGCCACCTCATTAAAACCAACCCAACCCAACCCATGACCCAACCCTACCCAACCCTTCTTCCTCCTTCCTCCCCAACCCAATTTAGGGTTTTCCCCATCCCATAATGGCGGAGAGATCTTCTCTGGCCTCCTTCTCCGACTTGGCACCGGCGGCGGCTGAGACTGGGAGTGGAGACGAGGAGTAGATGGGTTGGAGAAGAAGCCAAATTTGGAACTGATTCTGGGGCTATTAGAAGTGCTGCCGGCGCCGCTGCAATGTGGCTGTTGCTTGTCTGAAGAAGCGGGTGAAGCGGCGGTGTCGAGTTTCTCTTTGGGAATGGAAGTGCAGAAGGCTCGCCTCCAACCAGTCACCATTGTCAAAATCTATCCAAGAGTTTGAAGAGATGGACTATTGTGAAATAATTTCCAATCGGGTGTCAGGGAAGAAGAAGAAGAAGAAGAAGTGGTAGCCGGTTTGGTTGGGAATGGAGAAGGAAAAGGTTGACGAACATAGAAAGGGAGAAAGAGAGAAGGGTTGGGAGGAGCAACTAATTGAGAGTAAGAAAAGGGCCAAGGGCAGTAGAAGAAGAAGAAGAAGGGTGGGAGAAGGAATGGATTGGATGATTTATTATTAGTGGGAAACTCGACAATGGTGACTGGTTGGAGGCGAGCCTTCTGCACTTCCATTCCCAAAGAGAAACTCGACACCGCCGCTTCACCCGCTTCTTCAGACAAGCAACAGCCACATTGCAGCGGCGCCGGCAGCACTTCTAATAGCCCCAGAATCAGTTCCAAATTTGGCTTCTTCTCCAACCCATCTACTCCTCGTCTCCACTCCCAGTCTCAGCCGCCGCCGGTGCCAAGTCGGAGAAGGAGGCCGGAGAAGATCTCTCCGTCATTATGGGATGGGAAAACCCTAAATTGGGTTGGGGAGGAAGGAGGAAGAAGGGTTGGGTAGGGTTGGGTCATGGGTTGGGTTGGGTTGGTTTTAATGAGGTGGCGGGTTATAATGACGTGGCGGGTCGGGTTTTATTTTTGTTGGGTTATATCCGGCTGATTAGGCAATTCTGTTTGCCACAGCAGCACTTAACGGACTTCATTAACGGAGTTGGACGAAGACTAACGGCGAGTGACTAAATGCGTCCAGTTTTAGTAATTGTAGTGACCAAATTTGATATTAATTTTTTCTAGTGACTAAACATGTCCCGATTTTGTAATCTCAGTGACCAAATGTGTCTTTAACCCATTTTTTTTATTTTGCTTTGTCAAATTGGTTGAATGATAAATATGTTTTAAGATGGATTTTCAATTAATAGAAATGTTGTTTGTTTTAAAATTAATAAAGCTATAATTAAAAAAATTCAATTTCACGTATTACAAACATTATTTTGAACTTAAATTCAATTTATTTCTAAGGTTTCGAATGACATTCCAAACATAGATTTCATTTTAAAATAAATTCTACAAATATCAATCCTGAACTATTTGGTTCAAACGGTCTGTTAGTTGATTTTATAATGAAGATAGGTATATACGGTAAAGAAGAGGTTAGAAGCAAAATAAGATTTAACAAAAGTCTCATCGAGGAATTAAAACGAGAAAATTAGAAAGTAATCAAGCAAATTCCAAATTACTACTAGTTTACAGCCTTTCCCTCTTCAAACTTAGCCTTTTGTTACACATCACCAAAGCAAATGGATCATTTATGGCCGCTCTTCTAGTCCCTTGCCCGCCATTCCCAATTCCACCTGTTTCTCCTTCAATAACGAGCTAAAAACACCACCGTTATCCAGTTTAATTGCAGTCTTGGCCTTCATACAAAAAATTGCAGTCTTGACCCTTGGGCATATTCTTAAACACTCAACTAAAACCCATCACCAATGGTAGATCAAGGGTTTTACCGTGTCATACTTTGGTGCCTAGAAATGACTGCAAGGATGGCAATGATAAAATCAGGATTATAACGATGCACTTTTAACATGATTGGAAAACAGAACCAGAGATTGATGTACCATTCCATTTGGATGCTAGATTTTGAATGCATTTTGATGAAAATAATATTTATCAGGGTGGATTTGAAATGAATCATTCATGTCGGTGCTGGATTTTGGACAATGAATATTGACTGAAACCCATCGGACGAAGAATCATTCATCTGTCAGCGTAAAATCTAACATGTGGCTGATGACTGAAGGACCCAAGAACAGAAAATCCTATCCTCTGAATTCATCATTCCAGCAATACAACAATTTGAAATCTGTCTCCGTGCAAATGAAACCTAATCATTCAAGAAACACCACCCAACCCCCTACACTCCCGAAATGCCACATGCCTACGGGCTCCCAAACAAGCACACACTCGGCATATAAACCTAGACTCTCTAGGGCATAGCTTATAAGTATAGCATTGTATTTACCAGTAACCCCAAATAGCAACATACGCCAGCATCAAGTCTTGTATGTACAAACTTCTAGAATGGAAAGAATATCAGTTCAAGTATCTGCAGGTTGAGCATTTACCTTCACGCCGGCTGGTGTATTACCAGGCTTAGCTGTTGTTGTGCTTCCAAAAACATTAACTCCTCCTGAAGCATTTCCAGGCTTTGCAGGAGTTGCATTCCCAAAGTTAAACTTTGACTTTTTGTCTGCTGGTTTTAATATTTGAAACGAACACATAAGTGTCTCATCCACACTCATCATTGCACCAGCATTATCAAACTCTCCACAGTAATTAGGCGCAGAAAATATGGTTAGAAGCTGTCTGTTGGCAAAGAACTCGTATCCATCTTCCACAACCTGCACCACGCATATAAGGAAAAGCAAAGTCAAACAATCAGCTGAAGGGCCAGATAGTGAAGAAAATCCTCCACAGTTCCATGGACTGTAGAAAAGAGCAAAAGGAGACGCCCAAATTCAAGAGGATTTTAGAAATAGCAGATCAAAGGAATTGATTCAAGAATCCATCCTTGCATGAGAATATGAGATCCAAGAGCATACAAGGCAATAAAGAAAACAAAATGGACGCAAGCAAAAAAGAGATTGGAGGGATAAGTACCATAAGACCAACAAATACAAACCACAGAACTCATACAAGCAGCCAAAAACCAAGATAGAGAATGCAAGAATATGGAAAAGCTCATGATTGTACATTTTCCATGGGCTTAAAGGGTTGATGAAATGCAAGACAATATGTAATAACATGGCCAACAGAAGAGCAAGTGTAAACCTGATGAGCGCGACAAATCAGATCCAAATCATGCTTCTGAAGGAACTCCGCCACCTTATCAGGACCAAAAGTAAATGAAACACCCCTGTCATTCATTCCCCAACCCTGAACCTCTTTGCTAGGGTCAGACCACAGCAGATCACAGAGCAAACCTGTGTCTGGTACATCAGTTGGGCGAGCTAAGTTTCTGATTTGATCCAAATTATGCAAATCTGGGGAAAGACCACCATGCATGCAGAGAATTTTCTCATCAATTAGAGCAGCCACCGGTAGGCAGTTAAAGCAATCTGTGAATGTCTTCCACAGTCTAATATTAAACCTCCTTTTGCACTCGTCGAAGAAACCATATATACGGTTAATAGAAGCACATTCATGGTTTCCCCTCAAGAGAAAGAAGTTCTCTGGGTACTTTATCTTGTATGCAAGTAGAAGGCATATTGTCTCCAGACTCTGCTTGCCTCGATCAACATAGTCTCCCAAAAATAAGTAGTTTGCATGTGGAGGTAATCCGCCATATTCAAACAGCCTTAGAAGATCAGAATATTGACCATGGATATCACCTGCAGACCACAAACCATTTCTATCAGGCAGGTCGAAGAGTCTTTCAAATAGTTGTTCGATATTGGTAAGTGATAGAATAGATAGAGGAAACTAGCTCAAAAAAGTGACAGATCAAGGCCCCAGCCTCCCTCCCCTCTTTTTGTGCAAGCCATTATGCAATGACAAAAGTACAGACAAGGAATGATGAATTACACATCAAAAAATATGTTTTAACTCTTGGAAGTGATACCATGAGCAGCCAAGCTTGCGTTATAACTTTTCCGCCTACAAGTCAAGGCAGACGGGCCAACTAATAGTAATTGGAGGCGCATCAGAAGAATAGGGACTCATTACCACCTAGCATCTCATCCTTGAGTTGGGAATTGAAAGCTTACCCAACAAATCTAATAATGAACTGCATAGCAACTGGTCTGAGAAGTAAATGTTAAGAAAAAAGAGAAGCTAGATGTGAACTTAAGGTTGAGACGGGCCACATGTATTGACAACAAGGCTAGATTAAAAACCAACAAATAACGTAAGTTGATTCAATGTCATAACATAATGCAGCAGTAAAATTACCACAAATCTTGATGGGTGCTTCAAGCTCTAACAAATTGGGTTGTTGCAAGAAGATCTCACGAGAAGCCCCACAGAGTTGTCTGATTTCTGCCTCAGATAACTGGACCTGCTTCCCAGGTCTACCTCGAACCTCTAAAAGCCGCCGAATAATATCATCCAAAACAGCCGGTTCCATTTCCTAACCATGCAAGTACAACAGGTCCACCTTCTATTCTCCTTGACCAAAGAACAATTCATCATAAGACAACAACAACAACAAAACAAACCTTGAGAACCCAAGAAATGCTGCAAATTTCTACTGCTACGATTGACAGCCACCACCAATAACAACATCCACTGTACATGCAAGCTCTCCTACCAAGTGTTTGAGGGTAACAAGACTAGCTAACCAAATAAAATTGCATCAACATCTTCTCCACTGGAAACAAACAACCAGTCGAAAATTGTCGAAACACTCACCTTAATGTCTTGTAACTAGATGGACTCCAACCTCCTCAGCTGAAAATGTCAAGACACACAGGAGCTGCTCGGGAGACTGGAAGCTGAGGAGAAAGATGGAAAATTGAAAACGTCAGATAGAGAAGAGGGAAAGGTTAAACCACAGAAATTCAGGAATATCCTAAGATATACAAAATACAGAAATTAATGGTCAAGGTCGCCCGGCATGAAAGGAGTAAGGAAAAACAACCGCAGGGAACGAGACTGGAGGCGGTGTGATCTTAGGAACACAACGCCGACGGTGGGGATGGAGTTAAGAGCGGGAGATTCCTTTGAATGGAGCACTGGCATACAACTTTAAGAGGAAATGCGTCGCGGCGGCAGCTGAGGAGCCACAACTCCCAAGTCAACGAGTCCGGATACAGGAAGGGAGACAGTTGAGCTGATAGAGAGAGGGAGGGAGAAAGCCGAACTTCGATCAACAAGAGCAGGAGACGGCAGCGGCGTCAGAGAGGAAGGTAACGGAGCCACCAAGAAGCAAAAAGTAGGTTTCAATCGGATCGATCGAAATTGGACGAAACACCAGAACGATCGTCGATCTTCTTCCTCCGCCGGCGAAGTTGATTGGGAAACTTTGAGTTCCGATGGTGGTAGGAAACGTAGAGACAGAGCAGCCGACGGACTTCCTTCCGGTGGGAGAGAAGGGCCGAAGGCCTGAGATGGGGGGGAGAGAGAGAGACGGATATGGGATTCGATTATTTGTTAATTGTTAGGGTTTCGGTTTATTTTCGATTTTGTTCCATTTTCTGTATCCCACTTCCAATTCCATCCAAAAATGAGATAGAGTTATTATTGTTTCGTATAAATAAATTCTATAAGTTTTGAGAAATTTATTTTGAAATGAATTTGGTATTTAAAAGAATTCATTTTTCAATTTTAAATTTTGAATTCTACAAAATTGAAATTAATTATAGCAATTTCAAGGAATTGAGATGAAATTTACAAATGAATTCCACCAGTATTTACTAATTATAATAGAATGACATAATTATTCTTATTCTTATTGAGATGAAATTACTTAGCTGAAGACATGAATGATCCCTGGCTTTTGACGGGTGACTTCAATTCATTACTGCACGCATCGGACAAGTGGGGGGGGGGGGGGGGGGGGGCACCCTTCGACGCTAGCAAAGTCAAGGAGTTTCAGGATTGTGTCCTGGACGCTGGACTGAGCGATTTGCACTTCTCGGGACCGTCATTCACATGGTTTCGTCGGGGAGTGAATGAGCGTCTGGACAGAGGATTAGCGAACCACCTGTGGTCCACTCTATTCCCGGAGACAACAGTCTATCACTTCCCAAGAGTAAAGTCGGACCATAGGCCCCTGCTAATTAAGCTGAACCCGAATGTCCAAGCTCAAGGGCCCAAGCCGTTCAGATTTATTGCTGCGTGGCTCACCCACGAGGAGTTCCAAGACATGGCTGATTCGGCATGGGCCAAAGGTTCCGACTTTCCCAGCAGTGTGGAGACCTTTATCGTGGAAGCAAAACAATGGAATCGGAACATTTTTTGTAACATCCAGCGAAGGAAAGAGAAGATCCTGAAGGAAATAGAGCGAATAGAGCAGAGGTTTGGTGGAGACGCCGATACTGTGTCACTCCACAACCTCAGGGACGAGCTAGAAAACATCCTGCTACAGGAAGAGCTACTGTGGTGCCAGAAGTCGTGCATGGAGTGGATCGCCTCTGGTGATCGTAATATGAAATTCTTTCATGCGAGAACCATGCAGCGAAGAAAACGAAATAGAATCTTAGCCTTGAAGTTGGAGGATGGCGAATGGTGCGAAGATCAGAACCAATTGCAAGCTCTGGCACGCAACTTCTTTGAGGCCCAGTACCTCGATGATGCTACTCCTGTCACAACTATCCCACATAAATTCCCGGTGCTAACTCCACAGGAATGGGCGGCAGTCGATGGACAATTCAATCTGGAGGAGTTGCATTTGGCAGTTAAGGGCATGGGATCACTGAAAGCTCCGGGCAAAGATGGGCCGAATCCCCTCTTCTATCAACGTCTTTGGAGGTTGGTGGGTACCAAATATAATGACTTCGCTCAAGGATGCTGGGAGGAGCCCTCTCGAATCAGTGTGTTAAATGAGACTATACTGGTGCTAATCCCGAAAGTGAAACAGCCTACACAGATCGAGCAGTTCCGGCCCATAAGTCTGTGCAATGTGGGATACAAAATCATCACGAAATGCCTGGCGGAGAGACTTAAACCGTTGATGCCGAAGCTTGTGCATGAGACTCAGACGAGTTTTGTACCAGGCAGACATAAAACTGACAACATCTGTGTTTTGCAGGAAGTGGTTCACTCAATGAGAGCCAAGACGGGCAGAACGGGGTGGATGGTCCTAAAAGTGGACCTAGCCAAAGCTTACGATCGCATCAGGTGGAGCTTTGTGAAAGACACTCTTGAAGCAGCAGGAGCTCCGGAAAAATTCATAAAGCTGGCAATGGAGTGCATAACTTCAGCCCGTATGCAGATCCAGTGGAACGGTGGCTTATCGGAGGAGTTTACCCCATCGAGAGGACTACGACAGGGCTGCCCGCTATCGCCGTACATTTTCACACTCTGTATGGAGCGATTAAGCCATCTGATCCGAGATGCAGTGGACCGTGGAAACTGGAAGCCGATAAAGATTGCTCACTCTGCACCGGTTTTATCACATTTGTTTTTTGCAGATGATCTTATACTATTCGGAGTGGCTTCAAATTCGCAGGTGCAAGTGATCAACACTATCCTAGAAGAGTTCGGGGCCGCGTCGGGGCAGCAGGTCAGCAAGGCCAAGTCCCGAGTTTTCTTCTCGAAGAATGTTACCTATGAGCGTGCTTCGGAAATAAGTAATGGCTTGGATATTCCTGAAACGAAGAACTTGGGAAGGTATCTCGGAGTGCCGGTCATCCACGACAGGGTATCGAAGGCAACATTCGTTGAGCTGATTGACAGAATTGACTCTCGTCTCGCGGGATGGAAAGTCTCTACGCTCTCTCTAGCAGCCCGCATCACACTAGCACAATCGGTCCTACCTGCACTGCCAGCTTACACGATGCAAACCACCTTTCTCCCGGCGAGTGTGCGTGAGTACATCAACAAGAAAATGAGAGCCTTTATTTGGGGTAGCTCCGAGGCGGGAAGAAAGATTCACTTGTTGGACTGGCAGACGATCTGCCGTTCGAGATTAGAAGGCGGCTTGGGGATGCGGGATGCCACCATGATGAACGACGCATTCAAGCTAAAGCTGGCCTGGAGAATTCTTGCTGAGCCAGACGCGTTATGGGCTTGCATCATAAGGGCCAAATACTTGAAACAAGGGCTCGAGGGTTTGGTGCTGAGAAGCACAGGAAGGGTCTCGAACATGTGGAAAGGAGTTCTTCGGGTCTTTCATATGGTCCCGGAGGCAACGGTCTGGAATGTACGAGGTGGCCACCAAGTGAGGTTCTGGTCTGATAGATGGCTTCATGATGGGCATACACTTGCTAATTTGGCACCGAACCTACCGCCTGTAGCTAGAAACATCACTGTTGCGGATATGGTTCTCAACGGGGCTTGGAACGTAGACTACATCAGGGCCTTCTTACCAGAGGGGATTACCTCGCAGATTCTCCTCCATGATGTCCCGTCGAGGATGGAGCCGGATGTCCCGACTTGGCGCTACACACCGACGGGCGAGTTCTCGGTGAAGACGGCGTACGAACTGATTGAGGATGCAGGGCAGGAGGGAGCAGGTTACCACGGTTGGAAGGTGATCTGGAAACTACCAGGTACACAGCGAATCCGAACCTTTTTCTGGTTGGCCTTCCATGATCGTTTGTTGACAAATGTGGAAAGGAGGAGGCGCCACCTTGCTAATGGGGCGGACTGCAAAGTTTGCGGCGGGAATGAGGAAACCTTGCTCCATGTTTTGAGAGATTGCCCGTTTGCTCGAGGGGCATGGGCAGGTCTCCTTAGTGACGAGTGTGATGAGGAATTCTTCCAGGTGGACTTTAAGGGCTGGGCGCTACACTACCTCACGGGCAGAGGTAAGAATCTCGATGCTACCCTCTTTGCCGTGATGTGCTGGCTGCTGTGGAAGAATCGTAATAAGTTCGTCTTCGAGGATAGCTTGGCAGCTTTCGACAAGTTACAGAATGAGGCAAAGAGCTTACAAAAACAGATCACGGAGGCTTTCGCCAAGACCGAGCAGAAATTGGGATTCCCAGGGATGGCTCAGAGGAAGATGGTATCTTGGCAACTACCGCCCGAGGGTTGGGCCTGCATCAATACAGATGGGTCAGTGATTCTGGCTCGTCAGAGCTCGGCAGCGGGTGGAGTAATTAGAGAGGACAGCGGTAACTTTCGGCAAGCGTTCACTATGAATTTAGGCGGAGGATCGATCACCCGAGCTGAACTGATGGGAATAGCACAGGGCTTGCGCTGTGCTTGGGAGGCGGGGATTCGACAGGCTATTCTTCAGACAGATTCCAGAACAGCCATTCACCTTATTGAGTCGGCCTCACACACTCATCCACACTTCACGGTTGTGTCGGAGATCAGGCGGATCTTGCAGCGGGACTGGCAGGTACGGATCGAGCATGTCTTCAGGGAAGGGAATGCGGTGGCGGACTACCTTGCTTCTACTGGTCACGACGTTTGACTCGCTATGACACAACTCCTAACAATGGCCAAGTGTAACCAATGAAAGGGACTGCAGTATAGTGGCTCAAGTAATAAATATCGAATCCACGGGTCTCTAGAGTTACTATTACTCAGCTTCAGTTCATTATCTAGCAAACCAGATTAAGATGAAAGAACTAAAACTACCCTAGCAAACTACAGTTAAAGTTAATCTAATTACAGGTTGGGAACTCACTTAGGTATGATTCCCCCTAGCCACTAGCCAGATTAATGATTGATGATCTCTAACCTGTTTCACTTTCATTCACAATGCGGAGAATCCTTAACTAGACCTTGAGTCTCGACTAAAGGAACAAGGCCCTCTTGAGTCAATTGCCTAGAGGGACGTATCCTTCTCTAGAACAACCGATCAAGGCGTTCTGAACTAGACTCCCTCTATCGAATGAGGTTCTCAATCGATACAAAGCAGTGAATCAACCCTCGACTAAAGCAATCGATCCAATACTATCAATCTATGGTGCTCTATTGACCTAATCAGGTATTCGCTCTCATAGGATCAAAGCAGAATCAATAATCTCGACTAAAGCAGAATTGAATCATGAAAACATGCATAGATTGAATATGAACTCAAGATTATCAAGTAAGAGTACTCATACAATCATCCAATCAAACAACCATAGCTAGGGTTCCTCAAAACCTAAGTGAAGGGAAGTTACTCCATAGAGAAGAGAGAGACTGCAGTAAGAATCTTCAGATGATCAGTCTTCAAGTCCGGGCTTGTTCCTCGAGCTTCCAAGGCGAAGAAATCCTCCAATTCCACTCCGAGAATGCCCTCAAATCGCCCTCTCTTTCTTTGGTTCGTCCCTTGGGTGTTTGGGATCCAAAACCCAGCTCTCCCTTGCAAAAACGCACAAAACAGGCTTTTAACAGCCTGTGTCCGCGATCCCCGGTCAGAATACCCGGTCGGGTATTTAGGGAACCGGTCGGGTATCAACAAAATGCTCCGGGTCACTATTCTGGGCAAAAGGGAAAATACCCGGTCGGGTATTTTTAGTACCGGTCGGGTATTTTTTGGTTCACGACCGGGGGGCCTTCTGATGCT